ACTATACGGATCAAAAATTCAACTTTGATAGAGGGGAAAAGCTTTTGAGCTTGTCAGATTGCTCAATAGATTATATCTATCAGAGGTCTGGTCATGTTTAAAAGAAGCAGTCAACACCAAGAGAGAGATATCGCATTCATACGTTTTCTGTTAAGTTTTTCAATATTTTTTATCTGTCACTGAATTGTTCATATTATAAAGTATTTTTCGCTTTTAGGACCACAATTAAATTATGGACAGAAGTAAATAAATGAGCTAGTTATGATTTCATATAATGAGAATCCTGCCCAGAACATGTGAAAAATAACATAAAAAAAGCTCAAAATTACCACTGACTCATCTGGTCATCCCAGACAACCAGAATGCACGTATATTCAGAATTGTTTTCGTGATATACAAACATATATACAAACAAACAATTCGTATAGAATGCAAATAAATGGCTTATACCAAATATTATAAATTAACAATATGGTTCATTTCCAGAATTTCCATATGTTTCTGAAAAGACGCATAAGTAATACCCTCTCCCGGTGAGAAAGGTGACTAACAACATTCGTGGCCGTATTATTTAAGCGTGTAATCAATTCATAAGTTTAGTCAAATAAAAGGTGTGGCAAACAGTATTAGCTTTCTCATGCATGTTACACGCCTACCCTGACGTCATGACATTGCACTACGTTCAGACTATAGTTGATATTAATAACGTAATAACGTAATATAATATGATATCAAAAGTGTCTAAATTACGTGATATCTACAATAGTTTGAATGTTTTATTAGTTTAGAGGTAAACCAAACAAATAAAAGAAAATGCAGATTATATCTGCCATCCCTCTTTACATACCACAATGGCAACTGACAGGAAGAAAACTTTCAACACGCTAAGAATCGTTAACCCGATTTTGGGTAATAGATTAACAGACACGGTAAGAATGAATGTTTCATTGAGTTTAAAAAAGAATTTGATTTTCGCTAAAAGTAATCAAACGTCATGTTTTCACCGTTGTGAACTTTTAACTTATTTTTTGGATGAAAATCATAGCAACCTGCGCTGCCTTTGATGCTGTAAATTTTGTGTGCTTTATCGCTTTCGTTCGTGCTCCATTATTGGCGTTGACGGCACCGTCGAAAAATTGTCTCTTCTAGAAAAGATTGACAGTTTCTTATGGGATTTTCGGTGAAGTGAAAGGATAGTACAAAGTCCGCCTTGTTTCACGCACAGTCTGAAGTTCTTAATCTTATGTTATGTTATTAATGTCACTTAATGTTATTTTCACTCAATGGGTTGTTGATAAGGATTTCTCAAAATTTAATTATCATCATTAATTTAATTTTACCTAGCCCCATGGAAGCCACACCACCCATTAATGGGTTAAAAAATTGCTTAATTAATGAGTTACGTCACTTTTCTTCAAAATGGGTATTTTTTACCCAATAATGGATACTTTAAAGTTAGTTTAAAAATTGAGTTCACTTTCACTCATGGGGTAACAGTTACTCATTAATGGGTAAAAAGTCTAGTACTAGTTAAGCCATTTTTCTTCAAAATTGACCTTTTTTACTTATAAATGATAGTGGCGCCGGTGGTGTAGTGGTAAGCGTGATTACCTCTCACTCCAGCAGGCCTGGGTTCAATCCCAGTCGGCGCCGCCGGGATGTTTTGTGGCATAACATCTCAAGACCAACAATTGAACTGGCCTTAACTCCATTTTGTAAACAAACCTTGTAAGGCCATTTTCTCGCGAACCGAAACCTTCATTCGCAAACCTAAACCACAATCGGGTAGAGGAGAATTTTTCTTACCTGTTCATTAGGTTGGTTTGCCTTTGCGGACTTCGGTTCGTGAGAAAATGGCCTTACAAGGTTTGTTTACAAAATGGAGTTAAGGCCATTTCAATTGTTGGTCTTGATCTCTGATCACACCTTCCTTCGGAAGGGAAGTAAAGCCGTTGATCCCCGTTTCATGTGTTGATGGGTCGATAGGTAGGGTCCAGGTGTGGGAGCTGCCTCCTTGGCGTCGGTAGCATTGGTGCTCAGCACGGAAAACAAGATCGACGGAAAACAAACCAAAGGAAAAAAAAATACTTATAAATGGGCACTTCCAAGTTAGCGTCTTGGGTACCTCGTTCCCCAGCAACATGTGCAAAGGCATACAAGCCAAATGTAAGCAATGCATTTAAACGTGGGTTGTTCCCGAATTGCAACATGCCCACTCAAACTAACTATATCATCTGATGGAGCAAATTAACTCTCAGATGTTGGTGTCGGTTTGCCAGATTGAGTCTATATTCACGAGAAATCAACGTTTATAGTCATTGTTTACATTTGGTAAATAGGCCTTTTTTACATGTTTCTCAAGTTAATAGCTATCTCTATAATACGTCAAAACAAAAACGATAAAGTTGAGTGTTGTGGACTGAACGGTGGAGAATTTTTATGGTTCAATTTGCATTCATGCAATTTCAAAAAATTCAATAGCAGTGCATACTTTGCGATATGTTTCAGCAAATTATTGCGGGACGGTTTGCCCAAATGAGGTGCGTCGAATGCAAAATAGATTCTGTTTTTTTTTTTATGAAAAAGAAACCATGGTTGTTCTATGCTAACTAATAATTTGGGAACAAGTCCTGTCTCAGAAACCAGCTTCAAACCTTCGTTGACAATATTCTGCAACCGCTCTGATTTCAATGAACTCGTATTAAAAAAATAACCAATGGCCTGCGTAAATCTTGATTTGAAGGATTTCCCCATAATGGTAAGGGCTGCACTGGCTCTTTGGTTCACATCGAGGGGGGCGACATATCTAAATCTCAATTCTAGATTCTCAACAAATCTCACACTAGCGAATCGATTTACGAAAAATCTTCTTTCATTTCTCGCATCTACTTACATCGCGCATCATCTTTTTGCAGGAAATCTTCAGAATCGCGATCAATCTTCTTTCTATCTACTCAGCATGCGTGCAGCTAACCACAGCAAAACACAATTTTTCCTGCATTGTAGATAGAGTCGCCCCCTCGGTTCATATTCACAGTTTCTTTCCCAACTTTCGTGGGAAATCCCCTGAAATAATCGAGATCAGAATTTACAACATATGTTAGACGTTGTGAAACGCTCATCTCGTCGATAAATACAGTGACCAGTTTCTCGTTCTCTGGCAGACCAGCTACTTTGAATTTAAGGTGCTGTAAAATCGTCAACGATAATCCTTCTTCGATGTTCAACCTGGATAGTCACGCTATTCTGATTCTACCCAGAGACTGGGTAGACGGTATCCATTCTTATGTGCAGTAAAGACCCATACTCAATGTGGACGGCAGCGGAACGGAAACGGAAAGTTTGACAGTTGTCACAAATGACATCAAGAAGCCTAACCGATGTCGATTTGGTTCTAACTTGTTTTCAATCCGACAAGGAGGCTTACTCAGATCGAACTTTTCCGCTGCCGCTGCCGCTGCCGCTGCCGTTCCGTTTCCGCTGTCATTGCGCTTGAACCTTAAGGAGTTGGCAGATTCTGAGTAAACCAGATTTATTACGATGAGTAAAATGTACCCAGATTCTGGGGAAATGGTTATAATCGCATGTTTAGAATGGTGCCGGTATAAAAGAGAGATTTTTGCGGTGTCCAAATATCCTACAATACTGTGGACCCCCGTTAATCTGAACGACACTTCGTGCATAATAAGGGGGTTTATTTTTATTTTGAACTTCTTGTGTGATATGACCATTAGAAATTTAAGTTTCTGGTAGCTTTATTTACGGTTTTGTTTTGATTCTGAGTTCCATTTTGCATCGTTTCATTCCGCTTTAAGGCTCAGGCGCAATTACAGCGGAAGCGGAACGGCAGCGCGAAAAGCGGAAAAGCCCATTCTGAGTAAGCCGACTTGTCGGATTGAAAACTATTTAGAACCAAATTGACTCCGGTTAGATATCTTGATGTCATTTTTGACAACAGTCAAACTGCTCATAAAGACGATAATGAATAAAAACTGAAAATTTTCATGCATTTCCAAATGGTTTCCTGCCATTCCCATACATTCGAAAGTGACTGGCCCTCTGGATGTGGATGATGTCAAAAACAACAAAACCCATTCCCACATAGTACATAGTTGCGTGAAATAAACTTTTTTTCGTAATTTGTTTTCCGTACTGAGTACCAATGCTTCCAACGCCAGGGAAGCAGCTCCCACACCCACCCTTCGTGATCAGAGATTTTGTACCTCAGAAAATCCCGGTGGCGCTTGAGATATAAACTTAATTTTTGGGTATTTTTTTCTTACCGTGGGTAAAATTTTACTCAACAGTGAGTTGTTTTTGATAGCCTTTTTACGCTCAATTCACAGTGTATGTTGCAATGACAACGAAACAGTTTCCGACTTTTTAACCTCACTTTATTTGGTGTTGTAGGGTTAGAAATTTCCTGGGGTATTAACATAATTTACCAATTTTTAGCAATAGTTTGAGTTTGTAATTTTCTTAGTGTTCTAGTACTTACGTTTAGTGTTTCTATTGCAAGTAATTAGTTAGTGCTGGTTTAGCGCGTAAGGGTACCGCAATGTATGCTGCAATAGTTAATCATTGTTGTTTTTTATGTTTCACAATTTCACAATGTGTATCAGTTTTACCTGTCGTAGCGAATCGAATAGAATTAACTTTAGGAATAGTTCTCTGTAGATTTAAGTAGCAATAAGTTTTAGATGTAATTTAGCTTTCTCTGTAGATCTAAGTAGACATAATTATTATTTTTTACTATTGTTAATGACCACAAGTCTTACCACTCCACTTCTACGTTCAATTTTGCCAAGTAATACTGCATGACATTTAGTAGCAATAGATATTAATTTTAAGGTAGGTAACTTTTAGTAGTTTAGTAGTGTTAGTTGTACTGCAAGGTCTGTAGCTATTTACGAGGTGCGGCGTAGCTTACTACACTGAAACTTTCCCGATGGTGGTTCGTTGCGGCTGCGGTCGCAACACTCCTCCCCAGTACGTCGCGATCATTGATCCGACTTACTTACTATCGAACCGACATCTAGGATTGCCAGCTTAACTGCTGGTCTCTCGAGAATTCCGCCAGCTGTTCGCACCGACGCCCGTCGGACCTGGCCGTCCTTAGATTTGACGACTCCGACGACTTTTCCCTTTGGCCACGAGTTCCTGGGTTGATTATGGTCAACCACGACTACGAGATCTCCTTCTGCCAAGGGTTTAACAGCTTGAAACCACTTCGTCCTTTTGGTCAGCGTTGGAAGGTACTCGGCGACCCATCGTCGCCAGAACTCATTTGCATACACTTGTGACATCTTCCAGGAACGTGTCACTACGGCAGCACTATCGTTAAATGCGATCGGGGGCTTTGAACCGTTCGAGGATCCAATAAGGATGTGGTTCGGGGTTAGCGGTGAGGCTTCTTCATGTTCGAGCGGTATTTCAGTCAGCGGTCTAGCGTTGATAATGGATTCGACTTCAACGAGCATGTTTCGAAGCAATTCGTCGGTGGGAGTTCGGTTGGGCTTGATTTGATTAAGTGTCTTCTTGATCGACTGGATAAGTGTTTCCCAGCATCCTCCGAAATGTGGCGAAGCGGGCGGATTGAAAGACCATTTGGTTTGGGCGCTTACGAAACTTTCGATCAACTTGTTTTGGTCCATCTCCTGCAGGGCATCCTTCAATTCGCGGCTGGCGCCTATGAAGTTAGTTCCGCGGTCGCTAATTATTTCCAGTGGCATTCCTCGTCGTGCAATGAAATTCCGAATGGCAATGATGCAGGAGTCTGCCGATAATGAGTGGGCAACCTCGATGTGTACTGCTCTGACGGTCATACACGTTATCAGTACACCCCAGCGTTTCTCCACCCTGCGGCCGACCATGATCTGCATAGGCCCGAAATAGTCGATCCCGACATATGAAAATGGTCTGGTCAAGGCTTGCATACGCATCGCTGGCAAATTACCCATCATCGGCGGCTGAGGCTTCGCATTTCTGATCTTGCATAGTTGGCAGTGACTTCGAACGCGACGGTAGATGGTGCGGAGACGTGGCACATAATATTTCTGCCTTACCTCGTTCAAAACTGTTTGGTGATTGAGGTGGCAGTACTTTAGATGGAAATCCAACACGATCAGATCGGTCACATGATGGCATTTGGGAAGCAAGATCGGATGCTTCATATCCTTTCCGACGAATTCACATGCATCTATGCGGCCGTGCATGCGTAGTACACCGTCGCTGTCGAAGTTCGGACTGAGCTTGTAGAGAGCACTGTGCTTTGACAGGTTTCGCTTGCTCCTCCATGGCTCTCGATCTGCTTCCTGGAGTATCTGGATCTCTTCCGAAAAAACTTCAGCTTGAACGCTCTTGTAAAGGTAGTTCTCAGCTCCTACTAGTTCTTCCTGTGTGAGTGGGCCAGTGACGAGCATCTCCTTCGAAAACTTCCTACGGATGTTCATCGGAAACCGCCTGACGAAAGCTGCATGTCGCACAAGACGTTTCCATCGTGAAAATTTGACTATATCGATGACAGGTTCCAAACACCTGTGGTGCAGCGCATGAGCTCGCAACTCCAAAGCAGTAGAACCGGGATCAGAATTTTTTACCGGCCATCTATCTTTCGGTTCCCAGAGAAATTGAGGACCTCGAAACCAGCGACCGTTTGACGACAGATTCGGCAGTCTCTGCCATTTGGTAGCATCATCGGCAACATTAGTTTTCGTTGATATCCAGTTCCATTCTGAAGCTTCGGTAAGCTCCAATATCTCTTAGATTCTGCATCCGACGAATTGACTGTATCTGCGGTGATCCGAGTTCAGCCAGCAAATTACATCCCGCGAATCAGACCAAAAGAATTTCTGCGATGGCTTCAGCTTATGTGAATCTGCTATACTACACGCAAGGCGCACTCCTATCACTGCAGCTTGTAGTTCGAGGCGGGGAATTGAGACGAACCGCAATGGAGCAACTCGGGCCTTCGAGCCAACTAGCGCACATTCAATGGTCTCTCCTTCCTCGAAGCGCAGGTAAGCCACGGCAGCGTAGCCATTTTCGGACGCATCGACGAAAACGTGTAGTTGGATGTTGTTCAACTCTGTTGCTGTGGTATTATTCCGGTAGCATCTAGGGATCCGGACGGATTCGATTCTGGGAAGGACTTTCAACCATAGCTGCCATTTATTCCATTCCTTGGTCGCTATTGGCTCATCCCACGCTACTCCAGAACGCCAGATTTCTTGAAGCAGGATCTTCAGGAACATAAGGAAATTGGCGATAAGCCCCAGTGGATCGTAGATCGTCATTAATGTGCTCAGAACTTGCCTCTTCGTCGGGATAACTCGGCCTGATAGAAGTTCGGAGTCATGTCGGGGGGAAACTTTGAACGTCAACTTGTCCGTTGAAGTACACCACCACATTCCTAGCACCTTGTCGGATGCATGCTCAGCTGTGGTGTTTAGGCTTTTCTCTTTCCCAACTTCCACACCAAGGGCCTCCAGCACACTCTTGGAGTTGGATAACCAATTGTGAATCTGGAAACCTGCTTGGCCGTGAATGTACTCCACTTCCTTCGCCAATTTTTCTGCTTCAGCTTCTGTCTCTACGCTGGTAAGCATATCATCCACGTAATGCTCGTGAACTACCGCTTCCACCGCTCTTGGTAACTGGTCTTGGAAACGTTGGGCGTTGAGATTTTTGATAAATTGAGCGCAACTCGGTGAGCATGTCGCTCCGAATATCATAACCACCATTACGTAGACGTCCGGATTTCGGCTCTGATCGCAGCTTCTCCAGAAAAACTTCAAAGACTGTTGATCAACCGCATTCATCAGCACTTGATGGAACATCTCGACGATATCGCCAGCAACAGCAATCCGAAATTCTCTGAACTTGTAAAGGACTATCACGATAGATGCCAGCCAATCAGGACCCTTCAACAGCACGGAGTTCAGCGAAATACCGTTGACTGCAGCGGCTGCATCCCAGACTATGCGCAGTTTGCCAGGTTTATTTGGGTTTCGGACAGGAAATATTGGAAGGTACCACGACCGAGGGTAGCTGACATCGAGCTCGTCAGGGGACAGTTTTCGAATGTATCCTTTCTGTTCGTACTCACGTAGCTTCTCGTTGAACGCCTTCGCTAAATCAGGTTCCTTTAATAGCTTCTTCTCCAGACACAGCAATCTCTTCATGGCCATTTGCTTATTGTTAGGCAGCTGCACGTCGTCATACTTCCACAGTAATCCCGTTTCATATCGGTTCCCCTTCATCCTCGTTTGCGACTTCAATAGCTGGATCGCCCGATCATCATCCTTCGACAGGAGAGGCTTCTCTGGCCTCACTACACCTACGTTCTCCAACGAAAAATAGTCCTTGACTGAATTGTGCAGCTCTGCATCACACTGTTCACTGCATGGACAAATGTGAAAGCTATGATATGCCGAATAACTCTTGTTTATCGGTCGCACTGCTGTTGAGCACGGCCCGTAAACTAGCCATCCAAGACGTGTTCGACTAGCTACGGGTTCATCTTCTCGTCCTTCATGACTGTTCAAAGCATGACCCAGCCGACAGTTGTCAATTCCGATGAGTATTCTTGGAGAGACGTTCCAGTACGAATCGATTGGTAGACCCTCGAGGTACTTATACTCCGATGCTAGCTCATCAATTTTCACTGTTTGATGTGGCAACGCAAGACAACGGACTGTGTGCACCTTCGGGATCCGATATCGCTTACTTCTTCCTTCAACTCCTGAAATTTCCAGAGATAGCTTCACTGAGTCCTTCTCTTCCCGATGCTGCTCCGCCGTCCAGTTCAAACAGAGAGGGTTAGGTTTCCCATCCAGCTTTAGCTCCTTAAGCAGGCTATGCTCCATCAACGTTGCTGACGAACCATCGTCCAGAAAGGCGTACGTCTTAACGGACACGCCACGTCCATGAATTGTTACTGGAACATATCGAAAAAGGATCTTCCCGGTCTGGCTTATGTGCGTGTTGCAGTTCTGTGACGATTCTCCTTCGCTCACCTGTATTGTTGCTGGTGAAACTCCTGCTTGATATCTTGAGTCATCATGCAGAAGCTCGTGATGCATATACGAGCACCCGTTCCTCCCGCAAGGATTCTTCACCTCACAGGCTCCAAAATGCCTCTTGAGACACTTGCGGCACAGCTTGTGTTGCTTCAGAGCCGCCCAGCGAGCGCTAACATTGAGATGCTGGAACCTCTTGCAAGCAGCTGCACTATTGCAGGTTCCATGACAGACGAGACAACCTTTGTTGATCGGTTTCTGCACTGGTTTCGACGACGAATCGATGTCCGAATCTAGATGCACGTTCACGTCTGCTTTCCTGCTACGTTTCTCCGTAATCATTGTACTGACCGGCACGCTAGAGGGTATAGTAACCACACACGCTGCTTCCACTAGCTTTTCCAACCATGCTCCGTAGTCTGAGAGTGTAACGGACGCTAACGTTTGTCGATGCATTGCCCAATTGAGTTTAATCGTCGACGGCAACCGATCAACTAACTCTTGAAGTAGCGCCACATTACACAATTGCTCTTCCAGTCCGCAGGCCTTGATGGTCGCACACATGTTCTGAACTGCAACACCGAAATCGATGAGCGTAGTCAGCCTTTCCGTTTTCGGCGATGGCATGCTCCGAATCCGACACACCAACGAATGGATTATCACCTCCGGTCTTCCAAACAACGTACGCAATGTATGAATTACTCCTGCCAATCCTACCGGGTACAACAGCCGGCTTCGAACAGCTTCTAGAGCTTTTCCCCTCAGGCTGCGCTGCAAACGAAGTAAGTTCTCTTCATCACTGTATCCGCACATACGAGTGGTGTTCTCGTAGGTGGCGATAAACAATGGCCACTCCTCTGGTGCGCCAGTGAAAATGGGAAGCTCCTTTGCTACTGCTTGACGCGCAGCAAGCTGACTTCTGCTCAGATCGTGGGACGAATACGAGAAAAATAATGGGTCAATCGTCGGAAGGAACTCCGGCACATTGGGATCCAATCTTGCAGCACCGTCTCCGGGTCCATCGGGATCACCGCTATTCATCTGCAGAACTTTTAACCGCTCTTCCATGTGCTTCATTTCAAGTGCCTGCTTCTCAGCCAACAACGAAAGCTGCAACTCTACACTTGCCCTAGTATTCCGACGATTTCCAACTGCGCCATAGGTACCACTGATGCTCGTCGAATTGGCATTCGGCGGGATGTTAACGTTCGGTATCTGTAGCCGAGATGCAAACTGCTCCTTCATTGCTTTAAGCTGTTTCTCGAAATGTTCCTGCTGCTGTTTCAAAACTCTATTCTGTTCCTGTTCTCTGATTTTCAGCAAACGCTCGTACGATTCCTTCTGTTCCCCCATCAGCTCCGTCATGTTTGACATCCGTTTCTGCAATGCCTGGATCTCCTCTGACTGTTTCGGGATTGTGTCCAGTGATGTGGGATTTTTCTTCGCTGGTGCCACCGACGTCGAAGAACTAGCTGCGCCCTGAGCCACTCGTTTTGCTTCGCAATCCTTGCAGTTCCAGTCTACCTTCGCTATGCTCTCATCAACGCCCACACACTCAAAATGAAACCAATCTCCACAGGTATCACAACACACCATCCGACTGTTTTCCGAGGAGCCACATATTTTACAGGCATCGTACAATATCACTGACGATTCGTTTCGTCCATGAGCTTCTTCGGAATCAGAACCTTCACCGGAATCTTCGCCGCGATTCGACCGTTTTGACATACCGTAAATTGACCGCACTCCCCGATCGCATAAACGAAATTTCTAAATTGTGGCGATGACAACGAAACAGTTTCCGACTTTTTAACCTCACTTTATTTGGTGTTGTAGGGTTAGAAATTTCCTGGGGTATTAACATAATTTACCAATTTTTAGCAATAGTTTGAGTTTGTAATTTTCTTAGTGTTCTAGTACTTACGTTTAGTGTTTCTATTGCAAGTAATTAGTTAGTGCTGGTTTAGCGCGTAAGGGTACCGCAATGTATGCTGCAATAGTTAATCATTGTTGTTTTTTATGTTTCACAATTTCACAATGTGTATCAGTTTTACCTGTCGTAGCGAATCGAATAGAATTAACTTTAGGAATAGTTCTCTGTAGATTTAAGTAGCAATAAGTTTTAGATGTAATTTAGCTTTCTCTGTAGATCTAAGTAGACATAATTATTATTTTTTACTATTGTTAATGACCACAAGTCTTACCACTCCACTTCTACGTTCAATTTTGCCAAGTAATACTGCATGACATTTAGTAGCAATAGATATTAATTTTAAGGTAGGTAACTTTTAGTAGTTTAGTAGTGTTAGTTGTACTGCAAGGTCTGTTGCTATTTACGGGGTGCGGCGTAGCTTACTACACTGAAACTTTCCCGATGGTGGTTCGTTGCGGCTGCGGTCGCAACAGTGTATTAGTCACCTTTCGCGTCACTAGAGCCGCTAGTGTCGGGAAAAATCGTGTCTTGGAGATAATAGAACAGTGAACCATATTGTTAATTTATAATATTTGCTTATACGTACAAAAGTGGAGGCCATATACGTGCATATTTTAATTTAATTTTAAACGAGTTGATTAAACATCATATACGATTCAATCTGTAATAACAAATTCATTTTGAAAAGCCTTACGATGTAATCCGATTTAATTTGTGATACAGTACGACGGAAAAATGAGTCATCGCATATAAGTCGGAAATTTGCATTCTATACGATTTAACTTAAACATAATGCGAGGAATGCCATTCGTATATGCGATTTTGTCTTAAACTATAGCAATTTACGATACTCTCTGTACATTGTTATACGACTTCTGGTTGTCTGGGATATATCTCAAAAACTATTTGTCCAAATCATTTGCCCTTGGAAACACATCAAGTAGAAGAGTTTTCCAAAGTTTGGTGAAAATTTCTGCATTTCTACCGTACAACATCTGTATTCGAGGGTGAAATTTTCCAAAGTGGGTCGCAATCTAAAAAAAACCAAAAAATCCTAACCACCATTTTAAACCATAAGGAAATACAAAAAAAATCCTGCAAAGAATTTCTGTTTGACCGTGAACAAAGCGAGCATACAGAGCACAATAAAATCCACCAAGTTTTAATTGTTTTTCCATTCCCCAGGTGATCCCATCTAGGCAACAAAAAAAAAAAAGACCAACCTTTCTCGCTTACCTTAAACAGAGTGACGTCCACCTCCAACCAGGGTCAACACAATGACGACGGTGAGATGACCGTTTCCTCGAAAGTGACCGCAATTTGAACCTTCTGGAAAAAAAAGGACGTCTAATTTTCGGGTGTACTGAATTTTTAATTATTTTCCTCTTTCGCCGGGATAATGAGATTTTCGCGTCGGTTGATGGTGGAGTTTTGCGGTGTGGAATGTGATATATTTAGAACGGTTCCCTACACTTTTTTAATTACTTTTCAGTTGGCCTAGCACAGAGACAGGGTCTGGTTTCAACCTTTTGAAAGAGATGTTCTTCAATGTAACCTTCATCACTCGTATGCATTCACATGTGACTCACCTCAGTCGAACTTATTGACTTCGGCGGCACCCCATTTGGATTGCAAAGTCAATCAACGCGTTAGTCAATCGATTTATGTTTATTTGTAACGCTCAGTGCCGTCATCTTTGGCGCGATTTGATTGATCGATGGCCATTGCAGAAGAAGTGTCTCACCAGATGAAGAGATAGAGAGAGAGACAGAGAAAATCACGCAGGCGCATCACCAATGGATCAACGTACGACATCGGTCATAAATTATTATTTAGGCTTGTTTTTTTGTCTTTCCTCGTACCGACAAGACGAATGACGGTGATGGCCAATTGATTTGCCTCAACCTCAAGGCATCTTTCCTTCAAGCGAAAAAAAAAACTGCCATTTAATTAGCGTTCGATTGACTGACATGCCAAAAGCCGAAATTCAGTGCACTTGGGTTGTAATGACCGATGAGTCCCTCTCGAGAGGAGCCTCAATTAGTTGGAAACGACAACACGAGGGATGACTGTTTTTATTTTCTGTGTCGGTCCCACTCGCAAGTCCATTAAAACGTTCCAAGAACAATACTGTACATAGGTCGTCATATTCCACTCGAGTCGAATTTACGTAAGCGAAATGATTCTTCAGCAGCCTTCGCGATTCGCTGTTGTCTACGACCGTAGAAGCGAGTCTATAGGTTAGGTAAACATAATTAGTTAGTCCCTATTATAATCTCGTTATAAGCGCGTAGACGAATTTTTCCCGTCTCCCACCCGACCTCGAGCCATTTGGATTGATGTTGGTATCTGTACTCACTTTACACATTTTACACAAATCGCAAACGAGCGAGGGAGTAAATGTAATTGAAGAATCCTCAAGTAACTACGAGCTTCAGCATCAAGTGATTGTTTGTTCTTGCGTTGTTTTATTGGAATTGATAACGCGTATACCAGTGCTACTTTTTCTAGGATGATTTTTCAAAAGGACGTATCTGCTTTTGTCAAAGGTTTTTTTTTTTTGGAACGCAGAAGCAAACTAATGCCACCGTCAAAAAGAGTAATGAGTAATTTTACGTTTGGAACTTCGTTGACAAAAGCAAATATGTCCTTTCTTAAATTCATCCTGGATTTTATTTTAAATTTGTTTATTTGGAATGGCTCAATTGTTTTAATGAAACGTTACAGAGCCGAGAATCGTTAGAAACCACTTTACAAATTATAAAAAAACGAAGTCGTGATGAGGTCTTTGGATATTTTCTTGGTGATAATTTGCCGTGTTCTTGTCCTGTCCTAGCAACTTCGTCAATTCTTCAAACTCTTTGGTCCTCTGTTTCCACTTCCTCTCCATCCAATCTACGGTTCCAAACTTGTAGAAGTAGTACACGGTCGATTGAATTTACTCAAAAGTAAGTTGAATTTTCCGGCATATTCCAGGAGTAACTTCTCTAAATCGATAGAGGTTTCACTCAGTCTGTTAGTATACTCCTAGACTGAGCAAAATTTTCATGGATTTTCCGCATATTTGAGAAGTTTTTTCTGGTTTTCCACGACTTTTGAGTAAATCTACTTTTGACGAAATTTAGCCGACTCGACTAAATTTTGAGTCAGTCTGATGGCATCATTCGAAAGCTCCGGCGTCGTCACGTCTATTTTTACCGTATCTTCTTCAAGTACTTGCACCTCCTCTTCCGTTTCCCTGTCGTTGTTGTCCAACGATGAACCACCGAAAAACCGACATGAACGACCATAGCAAAAACAATAAAATTTCTGACCAAAACACACTACTGACATCTGGCTCCGTGTTCGCGGGAAATATTTAGCTAAGTCATGAACCCGCATGCAAAAGTTATGAATTGGTTCGTGTCTGATCTATTCTGGGCAAATTATTTTTATGTAGCTCAAAAATCCTATGTTTTTGACAGTTCGGATCACTGCACATTTAAATCGGCCGTTTACGATTTTCGGCCATAACTCAGAATTAAGTGTCATGTCATTTTGTCGGTGGATGACCCTTCTGCCATCACACCAGCGTACATACTGCTTCCGCTGAAGGGCATTGCCCTGACTTTGTTTTGACTTATTTGGCTGACTCTGGGTGTAACGACAGCGCACGTCCACGATTGTCATCGCTGTTGAGTATGGGAAAAAACAATCGGTAGAGAGAAAGATTTACAACGTGAACAACAGTAATTCTAAATTTATTTATTATTTGTAGTTAAAAGTATTTGTACTCAAACGAGTGAATTTAAATGCGATACCTACACACTATATTTATCCCGAGGGGGGCGACTCTCTACGATGCAAAAAAGATTGTGTTTTGCAGTGGCTAGCTGCGCGCACGCTGAGTAGATAAAAAGAAGATTGATGACGATTCTGAAGATTTTCTGCAAAATGATGATGAGTGATGCAAGTAGATGCGACAAATGAAAGAAGATTTTTCGAAGATTGATTCGCTAGTGTGAGATTTGTTGAGCATTTAAACTTGAGATTTAGATGTGTCGCCCCCCTCGATTTATCCTACAACACTAAAAGTAAGTTTGTTTGCTTAAAATATAGCTTAAAATTAGTGAATTAATAATATCTTAACCTAAATTCAGCTTAAAAACTACAACATACGAATCCGACGACTCACTACTCGAACTATTGTCGGTTTACCAAAATTGTAAGTTGAAATGGGAACAATTTGTAGGTTAGACTAAAATAAATATGCTTCTCTAGCTTGAGGCTAACAGCACAACAAAATCAGCGTTTGCTCTCGGGAGTTGGAAAACCCGTCAAGTCTTCAACTGTACATTTTCTTCAAGAATTTTGTCGGCATGTTGTACCGAAGTGACGAAGTGGTGAAAGATCGTCATGAGATCATGTTGCACAGTTGCCAATCATGCAATCGTCCGGATGCGGTGGAATCGGACATGGTAGAATGCAGTACGTGCAAGCTATGGGAGCATTTTGGCTGCGCGTTTGGCATTGTAAGATATGTTGCTCCAAGCTATTTAGGAGCAATTAGCAAGCAACTACCGCTTCCCGCAGCAGATCGCCCTATACAAAGCACACGGGCTAGTTCGAAAAGGAGTCAACAATATCCGACAACGGCGGTAAGTGTTACGTCGAGCGTTCGTGCGGCAATGCTGGAGGCCCAGCTGAAGAATGCGCTTGAGCTTGAGCTTGAGCTTGAGCTTGATTGACCGCCCACGGTTGCTACTCTGTTACTGCCAGATCAGTTGTAATTACACAGAGAACCATTAGACGATGC